TGCAGGGTCGGCCAGACAGCGAGCCCAGGACTCGCAAAGACTGCACAGCACGACGGTGAAAGCAGCCAAGAGCGGGGCCTTTGAGACAGGACAGTTCACAAGGCAGAGGGCCAAAGCGCCCTTAACATTCATTCCCCCAAAGAAGCAGGAAGTTTTTAAACCTTAAAATTAAATGTTCTTTTGGGGTAACCTTGAGCTACTCAGAGCTGCTCCAAGGCATCTGAAGCACAACACCCTGACATTGCCAAGCTTCTGCCTACTTGGCTGATGTTCCGCTCGTGCACAGAAACGGGGGCAGCCTCTTCACAAGCAAAGTGGCCGGCAGTTTAGTGCCACGCACCACACTTGAGAGGGAGGCAGAGGTGTCTTCCACGTCCCCGGCCTACGCCCATGAGAGCTGTGACGAACTGGGATGGGTCTGGTGGGACTGGAATGAAGACCAAGGTAAAGCTCGGTACCAAGGAAGGCTGATCCTCAAGGAAACAAACTTGAGGCATTATTTGTATATTTCATTTTCCTGGGTCCTCCCATCCAACCTTTTCAGGTTTTATTGAAATGAGACTAGAGTCAGGTTACCATCAATACCAAAACCTCTAATTCTATAGATAAATAAAAAGTTTTTAATTTAAACTTTCCCGGCTGCGGAGCAGCTCTTTGGCAGAAGGTTCGCCTAGTACCCATGAGGTCTGGCTCGATTCCCCAGCACCACAAAACAGGCAAAGAAACAAAGGTAAACACTGCTCCTCTCTTCAGTGGCCAGCTCCGAGGAAGAAGGTAGAAAGCAGGACAGGCAGGGACCAGTGGTGGGGCAGGGAGTGAACACAGGCACAAAGGCACTGAGGCCACAAGGGCCCCAGGAGGACGGAGTGGGGGAAAGGAAAGCGGGAGAGAAGGAAACCACACAGAAGAGCAAAGCTCCCACGCAGACCAACACAGAGCAAAAGGAGTAGAAAGAAGGGAAGACAAACACACACACAGGAGTCCCAACCCATCTCAGGACCGCTGAAGGCCTTGGCCTGCATGATGCACTCGGGGGACCAGGCCTGTGCTCCAGAGCCACACTGGGGGTGGGGGGCACGGCACGAAGCAACGCAGGCCATAAACGTGGCAGGGAGTTCATCGTACAGCAGGTGGCCTGGGAAGCTCGCCGGGAACCCCAGGCTCAAACGCCAGCGATCTGGGACATCCGCAGAGTGGCAGCAGTCAGTGTGGGCCGAGGACTGCAATGAACACCCGGGGACAGAGGCCTTTCCACATCAGACCGGCCTCAGCCTCTCCGCCACTTAGCCCAGGTCCCACATGCAGTCAGGGAAGGAGCACCAGCAAGGACCGTAGCTAAGAGCCCCCCTCCGCTTTGAGACAGGGTCTCACTACGTAGTTGAGACTGACCTGGAATTCACTATGTAGCCCAGGCTGGTCTGGAACTCACAGCGATCCTCCTGCCTCAGCCTCCCGAGTGCTGGGATTACAGGCATAAGCCACCACACCGGCCTAAGAGCCCATTAAAAAAAAAAAATACTGGGCAGCAGTTCATTTGTGCTTAAGATTTTGTGCTACCCTGTGTAAAGTTCCGAGGCCAGATAAAGTGAGTGCATGTGACAGTGTCCTTAGGTGTGTCTTTACGCACTAGGAAACCCTCCTGACCTACTTAACGCATCAATGGTCCCTGGCTCTGATCTTCTTTTATTAATTTAACATCCATTTCTTGAAGGCAACTGTGCTAGGCACAAACACAGGAAAAGAGAGAGAACAATAAGCCAACAGAAAGTGGGAAACTGGAAGTACAATGATAATGACACAATATGTTTGCTATGTGTCCTTGGTGCAGGACTGCAGAAAAAGAAATGGATAAAAACAAAACAGCAAGACAAAGAGACCTTCCCATAGTTAAAACTCGGAAGAGGCCACGGCTTGTTAACACACGTCAGAAGCGCCATCTAGGTCTAACTTCTGATCGTTTAGCTAGAAGCTAATGCTACGAAGAGCAAGATTATCTTGAAATGTTCTTCAGGACTGCACTGTCTCTCACTTGGGGAGGATGAAAAAAGAGGGGGGGGCTTCACGTGAAGAGAGATGAGAGCCAGCACAACGGACAGCTGTAACTCCTCAAGAGGAACTGGAGGCGCGATCGGAAGTCTTGTGAAGACATTTCAGACAGCTTGCCGGAAGTGGGCGAGGCGAGACCAAGTAGCGCAACCCATCACGGGAGGGGACGCACGGCAGCATGGAGGGGGTGACACATCAGAACACTGCAGCCGTTTTATTGGAAAGCTACGGTGTGTAATGGGCCGTTTTAAATATTAACTTTCAATATTCATATTTTAATATCCAGGAGACAGAGTCTATTTTACAGATAAGTGACCTGTAAATTTCTATCAGAAAAAAAAATAAATAAATGCTCCCTCCCAGATTTACTTTCTGGATATATAAGTTTCAAGAAAATACTTTTAGGAAACAAAAAGGTATTCTGATTAAAAATTAATGAGTTAAGGGCCAGGATTTCACTCAGCGAAGCTGTTGCCTGCCTCGCAAGTGCAAGGACCCAAGTTCAATCCCCGGTACCAAAAAAAAAAAAAAAAGATAAAAATTAATGACTTAAGAAAAAGAAGGTTTTTATACATTTAGATATGCAAGATAGATGTAAAATTAGTAACCGCTGTAAAGTTAAGCAGTGTGATTTATGTCTTGTGAATTGTGTTTAAAAATTTAACTTTTGCAACTTAACATTGTAAATTCATGTAGTTGTAAGAAATAATGAAAAGGTACCACATCCCTTTACCTATTTTTTCCAATTATACCATATTCCAAAATTCACAATGAGATTTGTGCTTTAAAAAAGAACTAAAATTATCATGGTTGCCTATTGAAAAGACTCACTGTGGAAATTAGCAGCCCCACCCTAATTCAGCCACATAGCAACCTGCATCGATGTAAGCAGGCAGAATAAGCAAATCTTTATTTTCTCTGAACTGCTGGAAAATTTATGAATTAGATTCACAGAATGAAAGGTCTTAGTTTAAAAAGAAATTCACCCACAAGTTTTATTTCTGCACCTAAAATTTATAAACTGTAAGTTGGCGTCCTTTCAAGAAATGAAGAAAACAATTTCATGTCCTTATTTCAAATTACATATCACCAACTGGCTGTCGCTTTGCTCAAACCCTTCCTACAGAGTCGCCTCAGAAGTTTTAGGACACGGGGGCCTATCCCGGATTATGTCACAAATTTCACCGTAAGAAGCACAGTCTCAGAAGTACCAGGAATCAATTTCTGCTTCTCCAAACGCTGTGCTCCTGAAATCTCTGAGACAGATGTGTTCAAATCTAGTGAACTGTGCTCCAACATCAGGGGCATGTGACTCTGGAAGTCAGCAGTGACAGAGACTGATAATCAGCTCCTGGAAGACCAAGGTCAGGAATCAGCTTACACTGAGAGAGCCCTACACACGACTAAAACCTTTCACTGGTGAACCAAGCTGAGAGCTATCACTGGAGCGTGTTATCTTTGCAGAAGGCTATGGAGTGTTGCAAGTCAGCTAGAAAACAACATCAGCGAGCCAGTGCACTGCCTCGGGCAGGCATCCAGAGCAGGGCACTAGGACGGCGCTCAACCCCAAGCTCTGACTGCCCCCAAGGTGGTGATTCTCCCACACCACACACACAGGACCCCGAGGAAGCCGTGATACAGTTTCCTACGAGAGGCCTGCATTTGAAATTTGAAGCAGGGCCACTGGCAGAAACTGAATTTAAATGAAAAGCAAAAAGTCTATGCTGAGGAGTGAAAAGGTGCCATACACATAGCAAGTGCACAAGTCCTTCCTGAGTAGGAGGAGCCAAGGTACAGGACGGGGACCCTGCTGTAGGACAGGAAGGAGAACTGCTCAGGAAGAGTCCAAAGAGAGAATCACTGCAGAGCCAGTGGGAAGCAATTCTATGACCAAGCCAGGCCAACTCACAGCAATCAGCCAGGAACACTGTCAGACAAATGACGGTCTAGAGAAGAAACCGGAGCTCCGAAGATGCACGTGCAGCCATTGAGGGTCAAAGGACAGGCACCTCTGTGACTCACAACATGCAGGGAACCCAAGGGCAGAGAGAAGGCGTTTCACCCCAGGATGGGGCTCCCGCAGGCAAGCTCTGAGAGAGGTGGAGAAGAGTGGCTTGCAGTGATGTATTGACTTCGAGGGCAGGGGAGGAAGAAGGTTGTCAGATGTAAAAGTCACCTCTAGGCATCCACACACCCCAGGCAGCAGTAAGCAGGAATGGAATACACAGGCCGGGTCGACTTTCAAAATGGACGCAAAGCAAAGCATGTGCCCCTCCTGATGTGGACAATCCAAAGCTGGCCTCTGCCCCACAGTAACAAGCAGGGGAGCAGCTCCTCGGTGCCAGCAATGGCAAAGGGATGGAGCCCTCTATTCACAAATCCACAAAACGACAAGGGGAATAAAGAGACAGAAATGGGAAGACCAAACTGCAGATCCAAAATACAAAGAGACGCTCACCTTCACTCTGACACACTAAGAAATATTAACAAGGAAACTGTCCAGGAACAGAAGGGTTTAACTTCTACTGCCACGCTGGGCACAGCACGACCTGATAGATGTGTGCTACTCAGAATGGTAGCATTCAGCGGTACGTGGCTGGTGAGCTCCACAAAGAGCCCGCCACACCCAGTGGGCTGAACTGAAGGTTCTTAGCGAACCTTCAACCACATTGCAGAGCCGTAGATGGCTGGTGGCCAGCACGTTGGATTAGGTTTCTGAGAGTCCCTTCTATGTCCTTCTCACGGATTAACTCATGGAATCATTACAAACTGACCAGGCTGGCATGCTTTTAGTAATCTGCCCAAAGCTACCCAGCAGACTGTTAAACCAAAGGCCAACAAAAGCCCCCCGTGGTAATGCGCTTTATTTAAGGAGCAGGTCAGAGTAAAGATGAACCCAGTGACACCAAAAATACTCCACGCTGACCCAAGGAAAAGGAAAGAATCCGGTCCACCTGTTTTCCCTGTGTTCTTCATCCAGGTTTTGTTAGAAGACTCGCTGTCAAAGCCATCGAGCTGCAGCTCCTGGTACTCTTCCCCGACGCGGGCGAGGTGGTCTGGGATGTCTATGGGCGACTGGTGATGGCCTCCGCAGCTGACACTGGACGTGACCCAGTGCTCAGGACCGTAGGCACCTGTTAAGAGAAAATGACACTTTAATCCTCACGCTCGAGGGCCAGGGTGGAATGCACAAGATTCAGAACACCACGGGGGCCACGACCCAGAGTCCATTCTCCAATATGTCCTGGTTTCAGAGAAATCAGTGAGACTGAAAGCCACGGATCGGAGCCATCTGCCAGGCGTGGCAAGGCTTCAGGAAAGATATGCTACTTAAGATGGGCTTGCTTCTTGATTTGCAATCATACGTTTGCTAACTTAATCTTTAATTGGATTCAGGGAGCTTCACAGAAGGGCTGTCAGAGTTGTTCACATTTCTGAAAAACTCTTAGTTTCCTAAAATGATCAGAGCATTCATTCACAAGAGTGACTTAATCAATTTAGTCGTTTTGCTATTGTGAACAGTGCCCTAAGTATAACTTGCTTCTTTGCTCAATAGGAATCTGTAAACAGGAAAAGAAAAAAACATCAAAATGAAAAGCAATACAAAGATGAGTGTGGTGACCCAGACCTACAATCTCAGCACTCTGGGAGGCTGTGGCAGGAGCATTTGACATTCAAGCTGGGACTGTGCCACTTACTGGCGTAAAAAGAGTTTCTCTAAATATGTAAGTAGGTAAATGGAAATTTTTATTTGTTTGTTTTCTTGTGGTACCAGGGATTGAACTCAGGACCTTGTGCTTGAAAGGCAGGGGGTGGCCCCACTGAGGTAAACCCCCAGCCCAGTAAGTAAATGTAAAATTTTAAAAAGGAGTGGGGACGTTGCTCAGTGTGAAGGCCCTGGGTTCACCTCCTAGGACCATGACACACACGCGCGCACACACACATGCACGCACACACACACTAGTCACAGATGAGTCTGAAAAGAGCTGCATGGATTTTTAGAGGATAAAACACGGGCATCTCAGTCAAGAAGTTCAGTGTGGTGACTATATGAAAATATAAGTATCCAAAAAGATGAACAGCTAAAGTGAGTTCAGTAGGCCTCATCTCACGTGACGGAAGACGCAGGGAAAATGAGAAGTGAAATTGGCCAGGGCTCCCCGGGCAGGCCCAGCTGGCCAGGCCATCACTTCTGGTGCCTTCCCTGTGTCCTCAAGCAAGAGCTGCTCTGAGTCGATAGAAAGGGTGGCACCCGGAAAAAAGGGACAATCACAGAACATTTTAGTCCTGGTGACAGAGGTTCAGGGCTGCAAGAGCGATCTACATGGCTCTGTAAGAGACTCACAGCGGTGTTCACTGGTACACATCTATAATCCCACCACTCTGGTAGGCTGAGGCAGGAGAATCCCAACTTGACTGAAACCCTGTCTCAAAGTAAAAAAAAAAAAAAAAAAAAAAAAA